GTTGGCTCAGGTCTGTCTTGGATCTGGGTGTGATTTCCACCTCTAGGTGAAAGGGAGGATGGGGTGTGCATGGGGTGTCTTTAGGAAGGACACTGCCTTCTGGTTCTCACAGAACACTTGGGGTTCCAAGGCGGGTGTAGCCCGTAGGATGGCGGGGATCAAACCCAGATCAGCCACGTGCAAAGCAACAACCTACCACTGTACTATCACTCCAGCCCTTGAATTTCTTCTTTGACGAAGTTTCTGTTCATTATTCCTCTCTGCATTTGTTTGATGGGGTTGGGAGATATTTTTTTTTGTAAAGTTCTACCAATGTGCTATATAACTTGGATATTAGCCTTTCATCAGCTAGGTATTGGGTAAATAATTTTTCCCATTCTGTGGGCTATCTTAGTAGCTTAGACGCCATTGCTTTTTTTTTTTTATTAAAAACGCATTAGAACTGCTTTGTCACCTCTTGATAGATCAACCAGACTCAAGCTTAGCAAGGACATACTTCATTTGAGGGAAACAATGTAAGAAAGGGACTTAGTAGATATATACAGGACACTTCATCCACAAAAAGCTGAATACACATTCTTCTCAAGCGTACATGGAACATTCTCCAAGATAGACCACATGCTGAGCCACAAAACATGCCTCCATAAAATTAAGAAGGTAGAGATTGTATCAACAATCTTCTCAGACCATAATGCGCTGAAATTAGAAGTAAATCACACACAAAAACAGAAAACTAAATCAAACACCTGGAAATTAAACAATGCACTATTGAACAACGAGTGGATTAGACAGGAAATCAAAGAGGAAATCAAAAGATTCCTAGAAACGAATGAAAATGAGAACACGAGTTACCAAAACTTATGGGACACAGCAAAGGCTGTGTTAAGAGGAAAGTTTATAGCTCTACAAGCATTCCTCAGGAAGGAGGAGCGAGCACACATAAGTAACCTAACCTCACAGCTTAAGAGCTTGGAGAAGGACCAAAAAAAGGAGCACAACCCGAACAGGAGAAAGGAAATAATAAAACTCAGAGCAGAGATTAACGAGATGGAAACACAAAAAACAATCTGAAAGATCAATGAAACCAAAAGCTGGTTCTTTGAGAAAATTAACAAGATCGATAAGCCTCTAGCAAAACTCACAAAGAAAGGGAGAGAGAAAACCCTAATAAACCGAATCAGAAATGAAAAGGGGGTCATTACAACAGAAACCACAGAAATTCAGAGGATCCTCAGGGAGTACTTTGAGAAGTTTTATGCCACGGAACATCAAAACCTCGAGGAAATGGATAAATTCCTAGACTCCTACAGACTCCCAAGGCTGAACCAAGCAGACCTGGAATACCTGAACAGACCTATCACCATCAAGGAAATTGAAATGGTAATAAAAAGTCTCCCCAAGCACAAAAGTCCTGGCCCGGATGGATTCACTAGTGAATTCTTCCAAATCTTTAAAGAGGACTTACTCCCAATCCTCTTTAAGCTTTTCCACGATATTGAAATATCAAAAACACTTCCAAACAGTTTCTACGAAGCAAATATCACACTGATAGAAAAAGCAGGCAGAGATACCACAAACAAAGAGAATTACAGGCCGATATCCCTGATGAACACAGATGCAAAGATCCTCAACAAACTACTAGCAAATAGAATCCAACTACTCATCAAAAAGATCATACACCATGACCAAGTAGGATTCATCCCAGGGATGCAAGGATGGTTTAACATTCGAAAATCAATCAACATAATCCACCATATCAACAAAAGAAAAGATAAAAAGCATATGATCATATCAATAGATGCAGAGAAAACATTTGATAAGATCCAGCACCCCTTTATGATGAAAACCCTAGCCAAAATGGGCATAGAGGGGACCTTCCTCAACATAATTAAAGCCATCTACCACAAGCCTACAACAAGCATCATCCTCAATGGGGAAAAACTGAGAGCCTTCCCTCTAAGATCAGGGACGAGACAGGGATGCCCACTCTCTCCACTGCTGTTCAATATAGTACTGGAAGTACTTGCAATAGCGATTAGGCAGGAAAAAGATATTAAGGGCATTCAGGTAGGAAAGGAAGAAATCAAGCTCTCACTATTCGCAGATGATATGATACTCTACTTAGAGAACCCAATAACCTCCACCAAAAAACTCCTAGAAACAATAGACTTGTATAGTAAAGTTGCAGGTTATAAAATCAATACCCAAAAGTCCATGGCTTTCCTATACGCAAACAGTGAGAGAGAAGAAAGCAACATGAAAAAAACAATCCCGTTCACAATTGTGCCCCAGAAAATCAAGTACCTAGGAATCAGCTTAACTAAGGAAGTAAAGGACCTGTACAAAGAAACTACAAAACGCTACTTCAGGAAATAAAAGAGGACATGAGGAAATGGAAAGATATCCCCTGCTCATGGGTCGGGAGACTTAACATTGTCAAAATGGCAATACTACCGAAAGCATTGTATAAATTCAATGCAATCCCTATAATGATACCCATGACATTCTTCAAAGAAATGGAGCAAACACTCCTGAAATTTATATGGAACAATAAGCCCCCACGAATAGCTAAAGCAATTCTTGGGAAAAAGAAAATGGGAGGAATCAACCTCCCGAACTTCAAACTGTACTACAAAGCAGTAATAATTAAAACAGCATGGTACTGGAACAAAGGCAGAACTGCAGACCAATGGAACAGGGTTGAATACACTGACATCTCCCCTCAATCATATGATCATCTAATCTTTGATAAAGGTGCAAGTAATGTGAAGTGGAGTAAGGAAAGCCTGTTTAATAAATTGTGTTGGCATCACTGGACGGCTACATGCAAAAAAATAGGCTCAGAACTCTGCCTAACACCATCTACAAAAGTAAGATCAAAATGGATTAAAGACCTCAACATCAGACCAGAAACCATAAGGTGCATTGATGATAAAGTTGGCAAAACCCTCCATGACATTGAAGCTAATGGTATCTTCAAAGATGCCACGCCACTGGCCGAGCAAGTGAAAACAGAGATAGATAAATGGGACTATCTTAAACTAAGAAGCTTCTGCACCTCCAAAGAAACAGTGACCAAAATACAAAGAGAGTCTACAGAATGGGAAAGGATATTCGCCGAATACACATCTGACAAGGGGTTGATATCCAGGATATACAAAATACTGGTTAAACTCCACAAGAAGAAAACATCCAACCCCATCCAAAAATGGGGCAATGAAATGAACAGAAACTTTCTCAAAGAAGAAATCGGAATGGCAAAAAAGCACATGAGAAAATGCTCTACATCATTAATCATCAGGGAGATGCAGATCAAAACCACAATGAGATACCATCTCACACCTCAGAGACTGGCCCACATTCAAAAGAACAAAAGCAACCGATGCCGGCGTGGATGTGGCGAGAAAGGGACACTCCTTCACTGTTGGTGGGAATGTCCACTGGTTCAGCCCTTCTGGAAAACAGTATGGATGATTCTCAAAAAATTAGAAATTGAGCTCCCATTTGACCCAGCAATATCACTCCTGGGAATATATCCCAGAGAGGCAAAAATGTATCGTTGAAGTGACATCTGCACTTGTTTGTTCATTGCAGCACTCTTTACAATAGTCAGAAACTGGAAGAAACCTGAATGCCCACGAACAGATGACTGGTTAAAGAAACTTTGGTACATCTACACAATGGAGTACTATGTAGCTGTTAGAAAAGATGAAGTCATGAAATTTACGTACAAGTGGTACAACATAGAAAGTATCATGCTAAGCGAAATGAGTCAGAAAGAGAGGGATAGACATAGAAAGATTGCATTCATCTGGGGGATATAAAGTAACAAAATATGAGATTAATACCCAAGAATAGCTGAGATCAGCACCAGGAGGATTACTCCATAGCTTAGTGGCCAGTCGGGCATTCTAGAGGAAAGGGCAGCTCAGACAGAGAAGGGAACACCAAATAAAGGGTGTTTGGAGGACCCTCCCAGGAGGGGAGATGCATGTCGAAAGTGGACTATGGACTGAACATGTTTGCCACTCAATGCCTCTTTTGCAGACCACAACACCCAAAAGGAGAGAGAGAACACAGGGGATTGCCCTTCCACAGAGGCAGGGGGGCATGGGGGATGGGGGTGGGGGGGATATTATCCATGTTGGTGGAAAATTGGCACTGGTGGAGGGATGGGTATCTGATCATTGTATAATCTAACCCAAGCACAAAAAATTGTAAATCTACAACTGTACCTCATGGTGTTTCACTAATAAAAAAAAATTAAAAAAAAAAAAGAATCCCAGGTTAACCATTGCTGATGCTAGTGGACAACATGATTTCCTGGCAGGTCACTTGGGGCCCTGGGCCGGGTTTCTGTGGGCTCCTTATCTCATGGGCATCACAGTCTGATTGATCTTCTGCCTACACAGGTTTTCTTTGTATTGGCTCACATTGCCCTTTGATCTAGGTGTGATTTCCATCTCTGGGTAACAGGGAGTATGGGGTGTGCATGAGGGTGTCTTTAGGAAGTCCCTTCTGACTGTCACAGGACACTTGGGGTTCCAAGGAAGGTGTGGCTGTCCGTTGGTTCCCGAGCAGGATGTTGGGGGTTGAGAGAACGCTGAGGAGGGAGACCAAGCGTTAGGAGGGGCAGTCACAGGGGTCTCCGAGCAGGTGTCATGCTTACCATGGCCTCTTGGGTGATCTGTTTGCATGCCAGACTCAGGGTTTTTACTTTTTGTTCCTTTGACTCGGTGCTCCCTTTCTCTTCCTTCACCATTGCACCAGCCTCCTTATCTCATGGGCAGCACAATCTGATTGATCTTCCTCAGTCTTCATGGTCTATTTCCCATGATTGACATCCTGGTTCTGTTGGGCTGTGGAGCAGCCCTGTGGTCTTAGCCAACCAAGGGGAGGTGAAGTGGCATGGGGCAGGGCCCACCTGGCTCCACCTCCCCCGTAGCCCTGCCTCCTGACCCCCGTAGGTGGCTTCTCCCTCCTGGGACCCTGCTACTCACCCTTTTCAGGGTCTCTGCCATTTCAGGGGTGGAGAACTGCCGCTTCCAGTTCTCCTGCAGGGCTGACTGAGCAACCCCTGAAGGTGAAGAGAGTAGGTGAGGAGCAGGAGGAGCCGGCTGCCGCCTTCCTGCCCAGAGCCCACGGCCCTTCTCACCCGCATCCCCATCAGCCCACGCCTTGTTGTCTCTAAATCTTCCTTTTCTTCATCTTTCTTGTGAGGCAGCTGCTCCTTCCCAGAGCCCAGGTGCTGTTGGGCGGTGGCCCAGTGCTGCAGGAAGGAGCTGTCGCTGCAGGTGCACTGCGCCTGCACCTGTGACAACCCTGGGAGTGCCTGTCGCCCAATCCCTGCCAGGAGAGGCAGGCTCAGACTCCCAGGCCCAGGCAGGCAGCACCTGGTGCAACCAGCCCTGATGTTCTTGCTCCCGGGGCCTAAGACATGGGGCCTCCCCGGGCAACTAGCCCTTGTCTCTTTCCCTGCTGCCACCCACATCCTCAGAACCATTTGGAGCAGGATGGGCCAGTCAACATCACTGGGAGGCCTCCTGCCCTGTCCTTTCCCCCTGCCCCATAATCCAAGTAGGTCTCTTGTCCTCCCAGGGGAACTTCTGGACAGGAAAGTCCAGACCCAAACATCAGAAGCCTCTCACGCCAAGAAAGGCTTCGGGCGGAGGGTAGCAGGCTTTCCAGAAGGGCCGTGCCCCAGTCTCAACAATCTGCCCCAGAGCTCAGCCAGCTGCTGGAGGGCTCATGGGGTGGGCAAAGGGCGTGGGAACGGTTCCCGACTCATGTTCCATTCCGTCTAAGATGCAGCTCTGAACCTAGCCCTGCTCACCCCACACCACAGCCCCCTCCGGGGATGCTGCCCCTGCTCCTGTAGACTCAGGGCAGCGTCCTCGTACCTCAGACGAACCTGCATCTTGCCTGGATCTGGTGGAAACTTCCTGACCTCCATTGTAGCTGTTCTTTCATATTCCGTAGCCCAGACGGAAGAGTTGGGGGCACCACGGGGCTAATGCACCTGAGAGAGGGTAGACAGTCAAGGCCCCCAGAGCCTTCACCCCACCACCAACTTCCTGGGCCCCCATCCTCGGACTTGGGGTTCCTCCTGCTCACCTTGGGGGGCTGCTCATCTCTCACAGCCTTCTGCTGCTTTGGGTTCATCACAAAATCAATTCTTTTCTTGTTTGGAACCATTTGTGCCCGCCTGGCACTGCTGGAAGGGGGCACCAGGACAGGGCAGAAAGGAGGGTTCCAGACCCGGGCCCTACTTTTCTCTTCACGTTCATGCTCATGACATTCTGGAGGAGTGGATCCCCACCTGCTGCCCCACGCAGGGGGACACCGAGGTGCAGAGGGTCAGGGAGACTCGCCCAGCTCCTGCTCCCATCCTGTCTCCCCATTCACAATGCCCCGTTCACAGGGCCTCTCCCTGGACACTCTAAGCCACCCCTCTGCCTTGCCCGCCCTCTACGTCACAGACTTGAAAGCTCTGATCCCGTGACTCCAGCCCCCACACTCACTCATCCAATCATACATGAAGCTCTGCAATGTGGGCTTCCATATTTTTAAAAATAGGTTTTATGTTGTTTCAATTCCTGTCTCCAGCTTGTTTCTCTGAGACTGGCCTGTTGAAATGGTAGGACAGCTGGAGAGTGGTTTAGGCATTCAGGGACCCTGCTTTGATTTCCCAGCACCACAAGGGAAGCCCTAAGCACTTGCCGGGCCTCACTCCTGAGTACAGAGCCAGGAAAAGCTCCTGAGCACAGGAGCTCTGGCTCAACGCCCTGCCCCCCAATAAAAGAACACCATGGGATTGGACACGTTGCGTGGGCATGGCCATGGCACCATGCCCCCTGCACAATCCCTGAATCTGGAGGTGGGGCACATTCGGGGGTGGGGGGGACAGGTTCCCCCAAGGAACCTCCTGGAAGGAATACCTCACTCTTTCCTTCCACCTATCAGTTTGAACATCCACCTGCTTCTTAGAATTGTCTGTCTCAGCCTGCGCCTGTCTCGACTATTGTTGAGCTCAGAGAATTGGGTCTCTCGCATCCCTCACTTCCCACAGGAGTGCTTCTGGTATCCCCATCTCTCCCTCTCCCACACCTCATGTTTCTCAATTCTTCTTTTGCACGCAGCTTTTCAGCAGCCTGGGGGTCGCTGCCATGTTGCCCTGTTGGGTCTGTGAACTAGAGGGTAGGAGAGGAGGCTGTTACATGGAGGAAGGTAGAGTCAGGCCACAGGGAGTTCCCCCCTACCCCCCCAAAAAAGTTATTAGGACTGAATCATTAGAAATCATTAGGACTGGGATTTGAGTTGGCCCAGTTTTCATTTCTGCATCCCCTCTCCACACATTCCAGGTTTCTAGTAGTGGAAGATATTTGTCCCCCTAATCCTTGGGATCCAGTAGTGGGGGACACCTCTGTTCCACTGATCCCTGGGTTCTAGTGGTGGGGGACATTTCTGTCCCCCACAACTCAAGTCTAGTGGTGTGGGATAATTCTGTCCCCCTAATCCATGGGGTCTAGTGATGGGGGAGTTTCTGCCTCCCTGATCTCTTGTGTCTTTAGGTGGGGGTCATTTCTGCCCACCTAATAATACCTTGTGTCTTTAGGGGGTCTGCACCGCCCACACCCTGGTGTCTAGTACTGAGTGCAGTGGGGGGGGGGGGTGGAAGGAGAAGGGAGGAGGGAAAAGGGTGGGAAGGAGCAGGTCGGGAAGGACGGATGGGGCTGAATTAGTTGGATTCGGAGAGGGTAGAGTTCATGTGTGCAGCAAAATAAGGGGATTAATGGTGAATAAGGTTGTCAGCTGAACTTGTGATTACGAGCTGGATTTGTTTGATTTTGCTGGTAGTCGGGTCACTCTGGGTCCCGGGTCAGGGGTCTGTGGCCTCCTGTTCCTCAGACAGAAATAGAGTCTCTTGGGATCCTCACACACTCTACTGTCCGGCAAGCCTAGATATGGACCGCAGCCTCCAGCTCCAAAGTCTTCTCACACTCCTCCAGCCGGTCTCCTCATACGTAGCCTCCAGCTAAACAGACTTCAGGGTCTCACAAACCTCCACTATGTTCGAAGGCCAAAGGGCTCCTCCTCCATGCTTCTGGCACAGGACGTATTTTGGAAGCATGTGTCCAAAGTCTCAGACAGCCAAGGGAGGTCAACAGGCCTGACTGCAGCCCCGCTTCCTGACCTCCATGGCGGGGGGTGGTCTCCCACCTAAGGAACCTGTCACTCACTTTTCTCGGGGTATCCTTATGATTCCAGAGGGCCTGGAGCTGCTTTTCTCCTGTTATGTCTGACTGAGGAACCCTTGAAGGTGAAGGTACTAGGTGAGCCGGCAGGGTGGGAGCCAGCTGCCCCCTTTTTGTCTGGGAGCCTGTGACCCCTATCTCACTTGGATCTCCCTCGGCCTCCTGAAGGCTGCCTCCAGCAGGGCCTGCTGCCTTGTTAGCACCTGCTGCAGCTCGTTCATGAACTGCTTCTGCTAAAGCACCAGCTTGTGCAGCTGCTCCACCTTGGAACACAGGTGATTGCTGGCATCCAGGTGCTCTTGGATTGCAGTTTGTGATGCTCTAGGTAGCAGCAGAAGCTAAGCAATAAGGCAGCGGGCATTGCACCGTCTCGTCCTGCACCTGCATCTGTGGGTAGGACCTTGGCTGTGAGGACAGGCAGGAGGGCCGACAAGATCCCAGCCAGAAGATGCAGGAATCCGACAACCCCCCCCCCCCCCACAGACCCCCATGGGGTCTTTCTCCCAGGGCCTAAGAGATAGGGCCTCCCTCTGCCTTGAGCCCTTAATCCTACCTGGCAGGCTCCCCTCTACGAGGACCCTCTCTGTACAGTAAGGGCCAGTTCACACCCCCTCCCACCCCCGCAGTGGGTGGCGCCCTGCCCTGTCCTTCCTCCCCTCACCCAAGGTGGGCTCTTGGCCTCACAGTGGGTCTTTCACAGCTCCTCCTATCATTTCTCCTTATTCACCTTGTCCTGATTCATTCTCGCTGCAGTTGATCCAGGAGCTGATTTTGCAGTAGCACCTGCTGGTCAAGTCGCTCATTCTCAGAGACTGATACTGGTCAGAGGCCACCTACCATTGCAGGAAATAGGGGATAGTTGTCCCGTTGCTCCCGCTAACACTCACCTGTTTGTCCTGCAATCTCACCTGTGGGCACAATGGTGAAAGTGAGGACAGGCAGCCGGGGCGTCCTGCTCTGGGCCCAGGGATGTGGAGGTCAGCACTGACTCCCAGGTCCAAGGCTGGCAGCACCTGGGCAATCTGTCCTCTGCACAAGCACCCAGGGTCTTGCTCCCGGGGCCTAAGCGGAAGCCCCTGGGTGTCCCCATCCTGGAGAACCAGGAATCTTGGACCTAGAAGTGGGGTCTAGAGTTCATTCTGCAGCTTCTGGACAACACTCTGTCCATGGTGGCCCATTGGCAGGGCCTTGCGATGGCCAGGGAGCCCCATCCAAGCACTTTGCTCTTATCGTCTTCTCTATTCCTATAGATGTCAAGAGAGGGGTGCGGCAGGGTGATACCATTTCACCAAAACTCTTCAGTGCCACCCTCGAGAACATCATGCGACGACTGGAATGGGAAGGAATGGGAGTGAAGATAGATGTTCGGCAACTACACCACCTCTGCTTTGCTGATGACATTGTTTTAATAACACCAAACATCAGCCAAGCGGCACAAATGCTGGCCGACTTTGACCGTGAGTGTGGAAAGGTAGGACTACAGCTGAATCTTACGAAGACAATGTTTATGAGAAACAGCCTTGTTCCTGACGCCCCATTCGCTCTCAATGGAACGACCATCTCCGAATGCAACAGCTATGTGTACCTAGGTCGAGAGGTCAACATGACAAATGACCTGGCACCCGAGCTGCGCAGGAGGAAGAGAGCGGCTTGGAACGCCTTCAAGAACGTCGAAGAAATAGCTAAGAGGACGAAGAACCTCCGGCTCCGGGCACATCTCTTTGATTCCACTGTTCTTCCTGCATTAACATATGCCTCAGAGACCTGGGCCCTACGCAAACAAGATGAGAACGCCATTCAGGTCTCCCAAAGAAAAATAGAAAGAGCTATGCTTGGAATATCACGTTTCACTCAAATGAGAGAACGAATCCGGAGTTCTGACATCCGTCGGCGATCAAGGATCAGGGACGCTGTCTCATTTGCCAAGGTGTCGAAAATCAGATGGGCTGGTCACGTAATGAGATTTAAAGACGACCGTTGGACTAGAGCTGTTACTGATTGGATTCCAGGGATGTCAAGAGACCGCGTGGCCGCCCACCTACCAGATGGTCAGACTTCTTTGTCAAGGTCATGAACGATCGGTTTGAGGCCCTCCATGTTCCCGGAGCGAAGAGATGCCATTGGGCTACACTAGCACGCGACAGGGACAAATGGAGACGTTACTGGCGCCCGCTCGAGCAAATCGACGACTAACGGGAAGTTAAGTGATTAAGTGATTCCTATAAACTACATTTTCTGTTCATCTTAAAGAGTCCACACCAGGCAGAGGTGTGGACCACATCTTCTGATTGTGGGTGTTCACAAAGATTGTTCCACTCTAAACTGGGTCACACACTGTGGGGGAGGGAGGCATGGGTTGGAGATTATATTCAATCTTCTGCACTGCGTGATCACCCCAGCACCATGGGAGGAGGGCCGCTCAAACAAATAAACCCAGACTGAGTTCCAGTACTAGTGTTAATAGAACTAAAAAATAATAATAAAATAAATGGGGCCAGAGAGGTAGTACAGGCCTTGCAAGTGTCTAACTCCACCTGGATCCCCAAAACCACATGGTCCCCTGAGCTCTATCAGGAGTGACTGAAACCTTCATGGCTGCCTTTAGAAACCTTGAAGGAGATTAAGCTTTGTTTCTGTTTGGGGGAGATTGGAGATGCAGAGTCTGTGTCCACCTGAATCTATTTGTTACTGCCAAACCTTTTTCCATTCCATCTACCTTTATCACATTCCTGCTTTTGCCTTTATTCACTGATTGTCCTGAATAAACTTGTCGATGAACCACCAGTCATTCGCCTGATCCATTGCTTTCCCGTCAATAGTCCGCGTCCGTGTCTATGAACTATCAGCCTTAGACCATGTTCGAATAGTCCATCCCTCCCAGGTACTGTGTCACCATGGGATGGTGACAAAGTGGCACCTGAATAGGGACCTGAATGGTGTTAAGAGCTAATGATCAGGGAAGCCCCCACATTAACATGGTAAGTGGGAAAATGAAACAAAATGAATACAAAGCTAACACCCTTGATTAAGAGGGCAAAGGACAATATATACAAGGTTCTGAAACAGTGGGCATTAGTGAATGCCATGATTAGAGTTCTGTATGAGCCTTTAAGGAAGAGGAAACTAAAATAAAAACTGAGAAGTTTCTCACACCTCAGAGCCTTACATCTACACTCTAAATGACTAACACTTAAGTGCTCTTGAGCTTAAATGACTCCTCCCTCTGATTCTCAAATTTCAAAGATTTCAACCCATTAGACTTGGTCTCCTTAAAAAGGGGCGGATGAACACCCAGAACTCACTATTGATGAATTTTCCTCTATCAAGTTATTTTTAGACAAAGTGCCTGATGATTCTAACCTGCCAGAGGTATTGGCATGGCTGGGGCCTGAAAAAGGGGAGTTTTCTGGCCCCCTCCCTGCTCTCACACTCACCAGGGGCCTCTCCACCTGGGTCCTGCTCCCTGCCAGAAGGAGAGGAGGTTAAGCCAGGCTAAGCCATCAGTTCCATCTCTCTCTCAGGCCTGCTGAAGGGACGCCAGCCAGAAGCCCCATAGGCTGAGAAGCGAATGGGAATTGTCTACCTCAGACCAGGGATGTTGAAAATGGTCATGTCCACTGCCTTGACTTTATAGTAATTGGCCATGATCTAACATGCCAGCAGAACTCTCTATCTGCTTCTCTGAGAGACAGACTAGGAGCAGAGTGTGAGGGGCGGGAAACACTGGGTGGTCTCAACAGCCGAAAGGGTCCAATTCACCCTGCCATATCACGCAACGTGGTGACCTGGGTTGGACCCCTGGCATGCCCTGGTGTCCCCTGAGCCCTCCATGTCTGCAGAGCCATGGGTGCAGAGCTAGGAGTAAGCCGTGAGCACAACTGGCTGTGGCCTCCAAAACAAAGCAAATCAAAGCAAAAATCAAAATCAAACACAAAACCCAAATAACTGAACCACTAGCCATGCTAGGCGTGCACTCTTAGCACTATACCATTTCCCAGCTTCTATGTTAGTTTTGAAGCTCTGTGCTCAGGGATCACCCCTGGTGGTGCTCAAGGGTTCATATGAGGTACCACGAATCACCCCAGATTAGAATAACACAAAGCAGACACCTTACCACCTGTATGCTAGATTTTGATGTATTACATTTCCTTGCTTGCTTGTCTATTTGGTTTGGGGGCCACATCCAGCGGTGCTCAGGGTTCACTCCTGTTTCTGACTCAGGGATCAGCCCTGGCCATGCTCAAGGGGCATTCTATGGGATGCCAGATATCGAACCCAGATAGCGCAAATGCCCTTCCCACTGTACTATCTCTGGGCCGCTCTTATCTTTTTCAAAATTAAATTTTTAACTGACTGTTGTTTTTCTGTACTGCATCCCAAAAGGAATACACGGTTTACAATGGTGCGTATAAAATTCACAAACATTCTGGCGAGTACCAAGAAGTCACGTGTCAATTAGCACCAACCCCACCTCCCACTTCCCCTCCTCTTTTTGTTATTCTTGGACTATTTTGAAGGGACACACCCAGTGGTGCTCGGGCCTCACTCCTGGCTCTGTATTTGTATGACTCCTGGTGGGGTTTAGGGGAACATTTGAGTTGCCTGGGACTCCGGGTCACATCCGGGTCGTCTGTGTACAAGGCAAATGCCCTACCCTCTGGGCTACCTGTCCAATCCTGCAAGATAGTTTTTCCTGAAAGAAACTTACTTGGTAAGATGTGAAGGGAGGACATGTTCGAAAGAGAACGTGGGCTAAAAGAACTGACCGCAAACCCTAACTTGTAATGGCCTCTAACTGCCTATACTTGTCAGTCACAACTTGCCAGTAGTTCCTTCGGTCTGTCTCCTATCCCCATTTCTATGCCATGAGAAGCTGGCTGGTACCTCAGCGCTCTGCCTGCCACTGCCATGTGAGCCTCTTTCACCTGCGGTTGGGCGGATCTTTTTTCATACCCAGCCGCCTGGTCCCGGCAGAACGCCCGGCAGCTTTGCCAGGTAGGAAGCAGCCCATTTTGCCACCTTAGGCTTTGCCTGTCTCTCACCTACTCGGGATCAGGGAGTCTCTGGGAGGCTGGAGGGGCATGGGGAGGGGAGTGCTGGGCAGGTGCCAGCCCTGACTGGCGGCAGCTCAGGAGAAGTATTGGCATCTCAGGACAGTTTCCAATCCCCCAAATCCCACCAGACCTCCACCCTGTTTTTCAAAGGTTGTGGTGACACACTTATAACACTATGGATATTTTACCTGTCATGTCATGGTTACCCAGGCCTGGCCATTGTGAAGATGTGAAACCAGGCCAGTTTAGTGAACCCAAGTGGCCTCGGGCCTTCTTCTTCTGTAGGAGTGTCCTGGCAGGCAGGAGTTAATCCCATCCCTATTTAGGGTTGGAAGACCTCCCGATCTTCAGGACCTGCCTGGACACTCAGACCAGGGCCCAGGCTGTGGTCAGTCACTCCATATCTGCAGATCCCTGGTTGTCCATAGCAGAGACCATTCCCAGTTCTTCTGTCAGCAAAACTGCCTGAAATAACAATTCTATTTCTGTCCGAAGTTGAAATCCTTGAGTGTTAAAAGTAGATAAAGGGATATTCCTGATACCCTTTCAGTATCTGTATTGTAAACTGCAAAAAGGGAGACAGATAGAGAGAAGAAAAGTGTCTTATCATAGACGAGGGCCTGGGTTTGCTGGGTGGGGGAGGGTGTTGAAGGGAGGGAAACTGAGGACACTGGTGCTGCGAAATGTGCACTGGTGGAGGGATGGGTGTTGGAAAAAAGGATGAATGAAATCTAATTATGAACAGCTTTGTAAAGGTCTAGCCACAGTGATTTTATGAAAATACATTTTTAAAAAATGAATGGCTTATATTTGAAGTTTTCAAAGGACATGTGTAGTACATTATCTGCGGTAAAATCCGGAGCTTCGCTGAGGCTTTGGGATCATTACAGGAGCAGGGACATTGGGAGCCAGATTTGAGTTTAGAGACAGTCCATGGTGAGCAGAGCAGTGGTTCAAACGTGTCCTGCTTTGAGGATCATTCAACATGTCATTACCTAATTTCTGTTTTTAGATGATATTGCCTTTAGGTTAAAGAGGAACTTTGTAGGGGTATCATAAATCACAAACTAATATCACTTGCTTTAAATATGGAAATGGAAAAACTTAAAGTTGTGAGAACAACGAAAAAGAAGCAGGTGGACCTCAAACTGATATATGGAAATGAAGAGCAAGTCACGCCTGCCAGGAGGTGAATTTTGACCTGTGGGGCACGTGCCCCCCACAAATGTGCTGTGCCAGCAGAGACAGCGGTGGGTGCAGGAAGTGCAGGTGGTGCCCTGGCCATGACTGCCTCCACGTGTCCACTCCCGTGGTGTTCTATTATTGGTAGCTGGGTACGGCGCTGGGCCATAGGCAGCAGTACTCAGGTGCTTTTCCTGGCTCTGTGCTCAGGAGTGAGGCCTGACCCTGCTCGGAACTCCGTCTGTGCAGCTGGGGATTCAAAGCAGGACCCTCGGGTCTCAGAACCCGCCCCAGCTGTCCTACCATTCACACCATGCCCTGCTCCATGTTTGGGACAGACCAACAAGCTGAAAGAGAAGAATTTTACAAACATACATATATATATTTTAAAACATAATATATATATATTTTGCTTTTTGGGTCACACCCGGCGGTGCACAGGGCTAATTCTTGGCTCATGCCCTCAGGAATTACTCCTGGTGGTGCTCGGGGTACCATATGGGATGCTGGGGATCGAACCCGGGTTGGCTGCGTGCAAGGCAAACACCCTCCCTCCTGTGCTATCACTCCAGACCCATATATTTTTAAAAAATCAGAATGTGGGGCTGGAGCGATAGCACAGCGGGTAGGACATATGCCTTGCATGTGGCCGACCCGGGTTCGATTCCCAGCATCCCATATGGTCCCCTGAGCACTGCCAGGAATAATTTCTGAGTGCATGAGCCAGGAGTAATCCCTGTGCCTCAACCGGGTGTGACCCAAAAAGAAAAAAACAAAACAAAACAAAAAAACAGAATGCTGCACGGGAGAGCCTCATACTTGTTTGGGTTAGTGAGTTTGGGGGTTGGGGTCATGGGATCATGGATTCAAGTCTGATAGATATGGGGAGGGGCAAGGCAGAAAGGGGTGGCTTAGAGTATCCAGGGAAGCGCCCTGTGAATGAGGCATGGGGAAATATGAAGAGACAGGCCGGGAGCAGCAGCTGAGAGAACCTCACCCACCCTCTGCACCTCAGGGTCCCCCTATGTGGGGCAGCTGGAGAGATCGGGGTCGGCTGTCCACTCCCCAGAATGTTATGAGCACAGAAATGCAGAGAGCTCTAGGGGCAGGACATAGAACGCTTGTTTCTAGTTGTCCCTAGTATCCCTTCCAGCACTGCCAGGAGGGCTCCAATGGGTCCAAACCAGGAAAGAATCCACTTTGTAAGGGGCCCGGAGCAGCAGAGGGCGGTGAGGAATGAGCTGACCCCGAGAAGAGCAGGAGGAACCAAGAGTCGGGGCTGTGGACCATGAAGTTTGGGTGGGGCTGAGGGTCTGGGGTCCTTGACTGTCTGCTCCCTCTCAGGTGCACCGACCCTGGGGCACCCACAACTCAGCCACCTGAGGTCCTGCTTATGACAAGCCCCCAAGTCCATTTGGGGGCCAAGAGGTTCCAGGAACAACGGTAGGGAAGAACTGCAGATGCGAGTGGGGACTGAGGGGACTGAGCTGGGGCGACAGGAGCTGGGGGCAGCGCCTCCTGCAGGATGAGGACTGAAGGGTGGCCTGAGTCGGGCGAGGCTCGATCTGTGTCTCAGCAACAGTGGGCAATATTTCCCGCATCTTCACTGCGAGCCCACGAACAGCTGCCGAACGCCAAGAGTTTTGTGAGAGGGTACAGGGGTCTGCTGGCCATCAGCTCCCCTCCACACAAGGCTCTTCTTGGGGCATGACATTGCAGCCTTCTGGGCTGTGACTTTCCTGGTCTGTGAAATGGGCTGGTAAGGTCAAGAGCCCGCGTTGAGTTCTTGGGAGGTAGGACAGGCCAGGATGCCAGCCACTGAAGGGTTGTGGGGGTGCGGACTGGCACACACTGCACAGAGAGGGGTCCTGGAGGTGGGAGGCTGTGGGGTAGGATAAGGGATGGAGGCAGGGAGAGATCCCATGTCTAGGCAGGTGCTGTCTAGGCATTGGACCCGGGAGTAAGTAACTGAGCCCTGCATCTCCTGGCTGGGATCTGGACGGTCCTCGCGCCTGTCCTCACTGCCAATGTCCTGCCCCCAGGACGATACAATGCAGTAGACAACTGCAATCCAACAGGATGTGCATGCCCACCGCCACCTGGGTTCCAAGGCTGAGCAGCTGCACCAGGCGGTTCTGCAGGAGAAGCTGCTCCTGGTCCAGCTGCTGCAGCACCTGTCAACGGAGCAGGCCCAGGTAGAGGCAGACCGTGGAGAGGGCGGGGAGGCCCAGGGGTAAGAGGGGCACCGGAACAGGGAGTCCCGCAGCCTCCCTGCCTCCTCCCCTAGTACCTTCACCTACAGGGGCCCTAGGTCCGGGACTTCCTGTCTCAGGCCCTGCTGAATTCACACAGGAGCCCTGGAAAACCGTGAGGGTTGGGGTTCCTAGGAGGGAGAAACCAGGTTTGGGA